GTTTAGACTCATTGTTTTCCTCTACAAATGGTGTGAATGAAATTAGCTTTATTGTTTGCCAGGTACTTGTATTGAAATCAATATGAGCATCTAGCTATGTAAATTTTATTTGGTATATTGTTACTTTTTCACCCTACTTATTTCTCCTGTGCAGGGTAAATTCAAACTCCAACCCTGGATTTTAAATTAAGTTGTTTTTTAATACTTTATGTAGCTGGTATTTCACACTGGTATTTTCATGTGCTAACTTCTTATAAGGATAAAGTAAAAAGCAAAGAGAAGGGAAAAGAGACAGGAGCAAAAGGGAAGGATGAAAGAAAAGAAAGGTAGAAGAAAAAAAGGAAGAAAAATATTGGGTTTGTTCAACTTTTTTTGTGAGGAATATGACAAATTTTTATGCTTCTTTATATCTGAAAAAGATTTTAGGATAATCATTCTCAAAGAACCTTCAAATCTGGGGCGCCTGGGTGGCTCAGTCGTTCAGCATCTGCCTTCGGCTCAGGTCATGATTCCAGGGTCCTGGGATCGAGCCCCTCATCGGGCTCCCTGCTCGGCAGGAGGCCTGCTTCTCCCTCTCCCTCTCCCTCTCCCCCTGCTTGTGTTCCCTCTCTCACTGTGTCTCTCTCTGTCAAATAAATAAATAAAATCTAATAAAAAAAAAGAACCTTCAAATTTATTTTTAAACATTTATTTATTTTTTTTTTTTTAAAGATTTTATTTATTTATTTGAGACAGAGAGAATGAGATACAGAGAGCATGAGAGGGAGGAGGGTCAGAGGGAGAAGCAGACTCCCTGCCGAGCAGGGAGCCCGATGCGGGACTCGATCCCGGGACTCCAGGATCATGACCCGAGCCGAAGGCAGTCGCTTAACCAACTGAGCCACCCAGGCGCCCTATTTTTAAACATTTAGATCAACACTGAAGAAGCTCACAGGGCACAGGTAGGAAATCATACTTCTTTATTGGCGATTTCCTTACTTGCTATTAGAATTTCCTGTAAAAATGCTGGCACCCTTTCTAGAGATAATCATGCATGGTGGTCATTCTCGGTGAAAATTTCTCTCTTGGCTAGATAAGCTGTTAAAGTAGCTTCCCCAGTTTTTTTTTTTTTCAAGAAAGAGAACATGCGGTCGTGCGGATGTGAGAGTTATATGAAGGAACAGTAACTCTGAATTACTTTGAATTTCTCTCTTAGTTTAAACTTGAGGTTTAAAGTTGTAGGGGAACAGGTGAGAGGTGTTTGGATGGGGCACACCTACTCACTCGGAATTTTTGGTTAACATAAGTCAATTACAAGTTTGAAGTACCCCTGCTATGCAGATCTGCCCCACTGAGGCAACTGGGGAAAGACATGTACATGCATAGGTCCCCAAGAGATAGGCAGGAGCTTGTGCTCAGTAAACGTCCTTTGTAGGAGCCGAAAACTACAACTAATCCAAATGTCCGTCACCAACGGGACAGATATAGTGTGCACATAAGATAGCGTGTTACTTACAATCCCCTTCTCATGCTAGACCCTGGAGCTCTGTGTGGTCAGACCTGGGTTCCATCCCAGTGTTGCTTTGTACTGTACTGGTTCTCTACCCTAGACAATATGCTTAGGTACACAGGCCTCATTCTCCTCTGTGGAAATTGGGACTCACCCAGGCTCAGTGCTTAGGCCAAAAAATTATTTAGATTTACCACATTCATTGAATAAAGCTGTGTAACAATTCCTTATTTTATTTAAGCTCTAATGTTTTGTATCTGATTATTACATAGTCTAGCATGCAATCTAAAAGTCCACAGCTCAGGGGCGCCTGGGTAGCTCAGTTGGTTAAGTGTCCAACTCTTGGTTTTGGCTCAGGTCATGATCTCAGGGTCATGGAATTGAGCCCCACATCAGGCTCCGCACTCAGCCTGGAGTCCGCTTGGCCCTGCCCCTCCACCTGTGCCCCTCCCCCCTTGTAAATAAATAAAATCTTAAAATAATCTTTAAAAATTAAAGTCCACAGTTCAAGCCAGGCTCAATAATTAAGGCCACTCAGGGAAAGGAATCAATGAAGTCTAAACCAAGATTGGTGGATAAAGGGCAGCAATTAGAGAGGACTGACAAAGCAAGCCTGTTTGAGAAACATTTACTGTGGATCCACTACATGCTGGGACCTGGCCTGGATGAGTATGACAGGGCCCCTACCCTGAAGGAATCAGCTGGGTAAACTCAGTGTTAGTATCTGTGCATAAGTTTCTAGCAGCCATAGTAGAATCACATCCAGACCCCAGAGGGATGGCAACAGAGGAATAGTTCATTCTGCTTTGTGAGAGGTGGAGGGGAAGAAGACTACATTAGAAAAGTCTTCTGGGAGAAGTGATGCTGAAGCAGAGACCTGAAAGGCCATCGGTGTTCATCAGCAGCCACCCCTTATCTTGAGATACTTTTTGAGCACCTACTGGGGTAGAGAAGTGGTGAAAACCATATAACCCTGTCTTCATTGGGGTTACAAACACAAAATGACTATATAACACATCAGAAAGTGATGTATGCAAAGAAAAAACCCAAAGCAATGATGCTAGGGACCACAGAGGTGGAATGACGTAATGTCTTGAATTCACTTTAAAATATTGAAAGTGGAAACTTCTTAGTGAATTTTAAATATTGAAATGAAAAAAATGAAACAGATACAGATGAGGCAAGAGTGGTAAAATCTTGAATCTAGGTGTTGGGTAGTTAGGCGTAACACTCTTTCTCCCTTTTTATTTAAAGATCTCCTTAACATAAAAATAAAGGAAAAGAAAGGCAGCAGATGAGGGGACAGACTGATGGAGGTGGGGTAGAAGGACAGGACTCTGGTCAGGTGGAGCTCGTCAGTGTGAGATGCCTCTCGGCCCCTGAGGGGGCACGACATACAAACCTGGACTTCAGGGGGTACTTCAGGGGAGGCAGTCTGGTATAGAGAGAAATGTTGGGGAATCCAGCACGTAGGAGGCATTGAAATCATGGGTTGGATATCCTTTGGGAATGAGTATATCTGAGAGAGAAGAGGGCACAGGACCACCCTCAGCATCACAGAGTTTGGATCCTGAGGAAATGAGGCATTCCATTCCATGAGACTGTCAGATCGCCTTAGGGCCAAATGGTGAAAGTGTTCCCAGGCCCAAGGGAGCCTGCGTCCTACACTGGCCAGGGGTCAGGTGAGGAAAGGCCTGGGTGGTGACCACACGGCTTTGTGTGGTAGAGGTCACATAACAAGAAACTGTATTCACTGACCAACTTTGGCAAGTCTTAACATTTTCATTTTGCCCCAGTGGTTTCAAGTCTTTGTATTTAAAAAAAATGAAATAAACCATTAAAGATATAGCGACTTCATGCCTGATGCCATGGCCATGGCTACAGTCAGAGCTGCCCTGGGCTTCAGTGAGCACCTGACACTCTGCTCTCACTGAGAGCGTCCACCCCACACTCCTGCTCCGTTCTGATGGCACCACTCCTCGGGTGCAATGAGACGGGCACTGTGCCACGTGGCTTGGGGGTCGCTACCTGGGAACCCCAGTGCTTTTCTCAGACTCTGCCCCCTGGAGCTCCCCCAATCCCTGCAGCACACCCGCATGGCCTCTGGGCTCTGTGCACCTGGGCCTTTTACAGGTCCACAGGTGCCCCGGGTCTTCTGCCTTTTCCATTCCCACTGCCTGCACTGGCCTCTTGCCCCTCACCTCACTCCCTCACTCTGCCGGCCTGGTTGGCTCCCCGCAGCACTATGTGACTTCTAGCAGCAGTTTGTCTTCGTGTCCCTAACTGTCCTGAGCAGGACAAATCATTGCCACATTTTGGGTTCCAGAGAATATCTGTGTGTTTTATATTGTCCTTTGGACCTGTGTGCTGATGAGAACGAAGTGAGATAAAACATGAATGTTCTGGGCTCCCATGATATCCCCGCTATCTGGTTCTCATAGCTGTATCACTGCTATTTGCCTCCTCCCACACCCCACATGCCACACCACCATCTCTCTGGGGGAGGGAGACTCACTTTCATTTCATACCCCCAAGTGCTTAACAAAATAGGCCCAGTGTGGACCCTGGAGTTAGATGGCCTCAGTGCAAATCAGAATCTGTCACTTAACAAGCCACTTAATTTCTCTGAGCCTCAGTTTCCTCACTTGTAATGTGGAAATGATAATAGTATCTACTTCATTGGATTGTTGAGGGTATTCCATGAGGAAATGCTTGGACAGCATTTAGAACAGTGCCTAGCACGTGTTAGCTGCTATTGTTATAATTATTAGATAATAGTAGAGAGACAGAAGGGTAGATGGACAGGTGGGTAGATGGGCTAATGGCATACCTTTGTAATCCTGGTGCCTGCCCCATTCTCGGCTAATCATAGCTGCTAGTAAGTGTTGGCTAGATTGAAATCTAGTGAAGTGTCTCCTTTAATAGATACCTAATTCCAATAATGGACAAATAAGTGATTCTGTATCTCACTAGATATCAGACACTACATGTTATTTTGCGAAGTATTCTTGATGAGACAGGAAATTTGGTAGATGGTGTCTGCTCTCTTTCTCTGCCTTCTGAAATTCAACCTCAACCCCTCTTCCTTACGAATTTTTTTTAACTGTCTTCAAGCAAAAATAATATTAAGTTGATACCACTTACCCTTCTTTGTTAAGAACATTAAGACTAAAAAAAATAAAAATAAAAGGTAAAAGTCATGATTGAGTCATTTGCTCTTCTGACTCTGAAGGCATCTGAAGACCAGTTTTCACAGTGCTTTTTATACAAGTATAGTGATAATTTACATTCCTGGGAAATTTGCTTTTTCATTTACGCAAACCTCTCTTGCTTAAATATTCATTCACCTGGAGAAAAATAACCTGGCATAGTTTGATACTTCTAATCTAGGATAAAATAATTGTAAAGATTCCCTCTCAAAATCATGAAAAAGTAAAGCATGTTGCTTATGTAAAGTTTCTGGCTTAGAAGAAGAAAAATAGGTGTTTTCACTTTTTCGTGTGCAGACACCTCATTCAGAAGCTCTCACCATTCTCGGTTCTCTTGTCTGCTTTCCAAATACCTACCGGGACATCCCTTTACTGCAGTCTGTGCCAGAAGTCAAGAAAGTCATCACAGGAACTGAAGATGTCAAGGTACCGCATGCGTTTGATTGAACCTCAAGTTTAGCATTTTATAATTCTAGCTATGTGGTCCTCTCTTCCATTATCATAATCTACTTATCCCTGAAAGTTCTGCTTTATTGTTTAAATCTTTCAGTAGTTATTGTTGTTGTTATTTTTTCCAGAAGGCTCTTTTAGGGGGATTAAACATATTAGATTCAGAGCATATGGCAGTTATAACTGATAGGCTCCTCGGGTGTTTTTTATTAGACCTGTTTATCATGCCTATGGATTATAATTATGTAGTGAATCATCCTTTGTAATAATTTTAGGTTTAATTGTGTCGCATAGTGCATCAAATGAGTTTGTAAGAAATAATTAAAGTTAGCCAAATATTCAGTCCCATTGTTAGCCTGATTAAATACTACTAATAATTTGAGATGTCAAGTTATTAATTCCTTAGAGAATAAAAGTAAGCATTTGTTCTCCCCTTAGCTGACTTTGGGGCAAACAAAAATGTTTTTCAGATCTCAGAATCAATCTATCTAATTATGGTACATAATTATAATATATAATTTAACATACAGTATATAATCTAATTGAAGTAAAAGAAAACTGAGCTTTTCCTATCTGAAGTCTCAATGGCTTTGCTAGGCTGGCTTACTTGCCCAGGGAGGCCCTGGCTGAGACAACCACCAGCCTGCTCCCCCAAAACCCTGTGTTTCCTTCCCCCCAGGTTCTCCCTGTTGGGAGCCTCTCCAGAGCTCCCTGGTCCTTCAGTAGCTCCTGACTGCCTGGAACACAGTCAGACCATGTGGGAAACCAACTACTAAACAAAGTTTTTATTTTACTTAATTTTGTGTTTTTAGCATTACCTCATAAATATTTTACTGAAGAATGCCACAGAGGAACCAAATGAATGTGCAAGGTAAATGTTGACTAAAAGGTAAATTATTTTAGGATTTTGAGATACAAATTTATATGTAAACAGTTAATGTTAAAAAAACAACACTCTTCTGCATTATTCATACACACACTAAAAGGTATAGTAAGAATTATGTCAAGAAAATGCTTTACTTAATTTTTTTAATGTGTGCCACTATTAAGTGAAAACAGTAAGGTACAGAAGATTATAGCATGCTACGTTTTGTAGGAGAATAAACAAGATTACGAATATATACGTGTATTCCCTGTTATTTTTTTAATGAAGAAGAAAATGGAAGGATAAACCAAAAACTTATAAAAATGGCATATGTATAGGTTAGTAATTCTCAACCAGAGGTGATTTTGTACCCCAGGAGACAGTTAGCAATGTCTGGAAATATTTTGGTTGCTCCGCTAGGCATCTGAGGTTGCTAGCGGTCTATTACCAATATAGAGGTTTTCTGACCCACCTGTATAATGAAAAGTTGCAACCTGTCCTTCCAAGGTAAAGCCCAAAGCTGGGAGCAGTGGTGGAGGGGAACAGCAGTTTCTCATCCTCTGCCTCCAAACTAATAAGCTCAGCTTAGCCTCCTGGCTGCCTCCAAGGAATCAGCTCATGCCCTGCTCTCTCTCTAGCAGCCTACCAGCCATCACTGCCTTATTAGCTCTTTGATGATTTTTAAGGGTTTCTGGGTTGTGGGGGTTCTTTTGGGTTTTTTTTTTTTTTTGGAGGGGGGATTTGTATTTTGACTAACTTCTTCAGTGGTCTTCAGTGGATGGCTTAGTCTACCTTTTCTAGTTTCCCATTACCAGAAGCTATAAATTCATTATCAATTTGTTCATATTAGAGTAACCTTGAATTTTGGGATAAACTCACCTTGGTTTATACAGTACCATGTCTGATTTGACTAACATTTTGTTCAGGAAAGTTGCATTTATATTTATGGCCTGTAATTTTCTTTCCCCATCCTGTTCTTATCAGGCTTGATTCCAGGGTTAGATACTATCACAGAATGACTGAAGTATTGTTTCATTCTCTGTAGTCAGCAAGAATTTTTATAACATTAGAGTTCATGCTCCTGCGTATTTAGGATTTAGACCTCGATGGTAAAACTATCTAGGTCTAGTCATTTATTTATGAGAGGGTTAACCATTGACTTATTTTCTTCCATGATTTTAGGAATATTAAGGTTTTCTTTTCTTTTTTTTTTTTGTTTACAGCTTAGATAAACTAAACTTGTGTAGAAATTTGTCCATTCCATCTAAGTTTTGAAGTACGCTGGCTATCTTGTGTCTCTTTCACTCCAAGAGTTATATGCACTTCTTAATCCCTGACCCTATTATATATTCTCTGATTTTTGTCACTAGTCTTGCCAAAGATTTGTCAACTTTGTTAGTCTTTTCAAAGAACATACTTTTGTCTTTGTTCAGCTTCTTTATTCTAATTTGTTTTTATTTTCTACTTTCTGCTCTTTTTTCTTTCTTCATATTCTTCCATTCCTTTTCTTTTTATCAGCATATTTATTCTGATATAGTAATACAACAGTATACTAACTCAGCGTACTAATTCAGCTTTTCTTCTTTACAAATGTCAACATTTAAGTTCGTATATTTATTTCTAGATGGTACGTCATCTGAGTTCTGTACATTTTGATATGTAATATTTTTCCACTACAGATTTTTTCCTGTTTCCGTTATGATTCCTTCACTGAGTCATGATTTATTTAGAAATACATTTAATTTCTAAACATACAGTTGTTTTTATTTATCTTTTTGCTGCTGATGTCTTAAAGGCATCACAGATCCAATATGTTGTCTGCCAAGTAACAGTCTTTGATATTGGTGAGATTTGCTCTATGGCCCAGTAGATAGTTTTTGCAAATACCCTGGGTAGGCTTGAAAAGCATGTATATACCATTTCTTCAGTAGTTGGGTGTACTGCTCTAGATGTGTACATTTGATTAATTTTTTTAATCATGTGTTTCAAATATTTTACATCCTTTCTAATTTATTTACCATCTTAATCATTTATTGAGAAAAATTGGTTAAAATCTCCCACTATTATGGTACATTTATCTATTTTTCCTTGTATATCTGTCAATCTTTGTTTATATATTTTGAAGCTATATTATTAGCTGTATAGAACTATAGAATTATCAAATCTCTATAGAGAATCATATCTCTTAATTTATGTAGTGACCCTATTTACCTCTAAGGATGATTTTTTTTTCTCTTAAAAACCACTTATCTCATATTGATTCAGATATTTGTAAATAATATTTTCCATCCTTTTAAATTTAACCTTTCTACATACTTCTCTTTAAATGTCTTTGCAAAAATTGTACATTCTTTATTTTATATATTTATCCTGTCTGATCTTGATCTTTTAACTGAATCTTTAGTTCATTTACATTTACTGTAGTTACTGACATATTTGGCTGTATTTCTTTCATTTGCCTTTATATTTTGTTATTTGTCCTTATCAATATTCTCTCATTTTGTCCCTATTCTTGCCTTCATTTATCCCCCTCTCCTTTTCTTCCTTCCTTTCTTTGATTCAGATGATTTTTTCCACATTCCATTTATTACCTGTATTTTTGCAGAAGTCATAGACTCTCAGATTTTTTAGAATTTGCCTTAGAAATTTTAATGTGCATACTTGTCTTACTAATTCTGAATTAGTCTGCCTTTACCCTTTTCCTGAACAATGCCAGTTCCTTAGAATATAATCTTCTGATTTTATTCCTTTGTCACTGTGGCTGCTCCTGTTCTGTTTCTCTCCTCCACATAACCTCTGAGTGTTAGAGTGACTCGAGGTTTAGGGCTGGTCCTCTTCTCTCTCTCTGACTCTCCTAGGTGCTCTTATTCATGCTAACCAGACTTTAAATACCACTGAATTTATGATACTGATGATACTGAATTTATTTGCCTGGCCTCTTCTGTGAACCCCCTATATATTCAGGCTTATGTATTAAGCTTTCTACTTTATATCTCAGCTTGGATATCTTAACACATACAAAATTAACACAACCACAGCTGAACCCTTGTCTCCTGACCATCCCTCAGACTCCATCTCAGTAAAGGGCACCACCATCATCTACCCAGATTTTTAACCCAGAAACTTGGGGAAAATCCTTGATTTCTCCTTTTCACTTACCTGTCACATTCAAACCTTTAACATGTCTTGGCAATACCTTCCCCCTCCTCTTTTTCTTTACTGTAGAAAGCCAAATTTCTGTGGAGTGAAAAATAGAATAGAAATGTGTATGGTATGCTCTGTCTTTATCAGCTGTATATAAAACATGGAGTTAGACAATGAAATTGAGGTCATGCAAGTGCAGATAAGCAGAAATATGACCAAGATTTCAAATAAATGGAGGATAATTATGAGAGAAGATAGTTAAAATTACGAGTGATAATGTAGAAAAGTCAAGAAAAAATAGTAAGTTTCTGTTACATAAACTGGAGTGGTGTGAGATGGCAGAGTAGCAAACAGTCTCCAGAGAGTGGGTTGGCATACAAAGGAGGGTGAAGGTGGTCCTGCCATTAGCTTAAAAAAAAGTCTTGGGAGATAGAACCCATTTGGGATCACAAAGGACACATTTGGGATACAGGGAACTTAACTGACAGAAACTCAAAGCCAAAAGGAATACCTGAGAGTACCAGAATAGGAAGATGCTAAATGGGAATGCTAAATGATAAATTTCAAAGAGAGAAAATAGCATTGAAGAGCTGCGATAAGCTAGTGTGGCTTTAAAACTCGAGGCAGGTGAGAGTAGTTCACATTATGAAACCATTTTATGGGTCACAAATGTTCTCTGCTGTGCAAGGCTAATAGTTACAGAGTAATGCAGGTGTTCCTAAGAAATGAGAGATCTTTGCTCTTAATGAATTACATTTAACAGATAGGTTAATGGGTTGTAAAAAAAAAAAAAAGTGTGTGTATTAATACACACAGAGAGAGAGAGAGAGAGAGAGAGACATGCAAGCCTGCAAAGGAAGAGAGGCTCTTAAAGTGGTAAAAATACGATTTGGGGTATAACTCCAAGTTAGATAGATTTTAGTGGGTTGAACAATCAGAGTCTGAGTTAAGCTGGGGCAAGATAAAGAGGCAAATAGAATACATGACAGAGAGTGCAGTTTCTGGACTGAGAATCAGTATAGAAATCAGGCAAGAGGAGACAGTTCTATACAGTAAGGAAAGCTGAGGGTTTGAACTGTGTGGAACTCCTGTATAATGCTGGCGTTGGAGAATCCAGAAAGACCAGGCACACCTTATAAATTGGGCTGCATGCTTATCCTGAGTGCATTTTGGCAGAAGGTCACGTAGTCTCCAAAGAGCTTTTAATAAATGTGTTCTGAAGCACTTTATCTATCCTAATTTAAAGAGGTGAGAATCCAGTGAAACATGGTGGTTTTAAAAACCTCAAAATATATTTATTTTAATAGCTGGATTATACTGAATACAAAGAACTTGCACTGTGGAGAGCTGAGCAGTATGTTCAGTTTAATTGGCACTGGTAATGTGACCTCTTCTTACAAAGAACAACATATACATACACAGCTAATGTCTGGTTTCGAGTAGTGGCTTGAAAACCCCTTTTGTTCTGAAAGTGAGCAGGTTTGGGAGCAAGTATTTTAATTTTATACGTGGGCATTCAGAAAAGATTAACAGGAATATGACTTTTTGATCATTGCAAAAGATTAGAATATATCAATTTCAAAGATAATCACCACTTAAAATTGATTTATAATTGAAAAAGGTAATTTTTAAAGGACTGTGCAACTTGAAGAAGGCTTTGTCCTAACACATTGTTTAAAAGCAGTAACAGTGCAGCTGATTCTGAAAGTTGTATTCCAATATTTTTTACAATGAAGTGTGGGGTTTGTCTTCTGTTTGTAGTAGGTGTTGTATATTTAATTGTAAGAAAAACAATTACAAACTCGATTTCCAACCATTTTCTAAGATTCATGTTTTTGATTCTTCCTCAAAACTCTCTTGAAGCAATACAACGTAATTTAAAGTGTCAGCAAAAATAGCTGATTTGTGCTCTGTGACTATGAACAGGATATAGACCACTTATTTCATTAAATATTTAATTACTAACCAATATCACTATTTCTATTTGTCCTGAAAACTGAACTATTGAGGGTACCTTATCTTTTTCCTCAGGAAGACATTCTGTTAACATACCTATAATTTTGGCCACTTTGTAAAAAAGATTTAAAATACTTTGTCACTTTAAAATACCAAGAAAATATATTAAATTTTTTGAGAGTTTCCCTCCTTTTCCTTCTTTTTCAAAAGATGCATTGCCATTTGCTCCCTCGGGGTCTGGATATGCGAAGAACTGGCACAGTGTACAAGCCATCCTCAGCTGAAAGAGGCCATCAATGTGATAGGCGTCACTTTGAAGGTATTACCAATCCGTGATGTGTATTTGACAGTAAGCTGGATCCCAGATAGTCAACCAGTTCTAGTTTGAATTAGCCCATCGTTATTTTCCTGTACGTGAGAGATTTTGAATCAAAAATTGTTTTTCTGAGAGCCATGTTGAACGTTCTGTGAGGCTCCCAAGAAAGGCCACCAACAGCTGCTTCCCCACTGGTGGCTGCAACCTGGCCATCCATAGCCTGAATGTTCTTGGACCAAGCCCTGCGGCTGAACAGGGTTCCTCTGGTAGCTGGGCACTCCCTGTGGCAGGCAGCACAACTGTCATCTGCTGGTAATAGTGACAGGAAGCTGGGATTTCATGCCCTGGCCTCTTCAGTGGAACTGGGAGAGACCTGACAGCTCCTGGTTAGCGGTCCTGAGTGCTCACTGTCTGACTGGGTCTCGGCACTTTTAGGATGGCTTTCTTCCTTTGCTTTGTTAAGGAAAAGAAGAGCTGCCATTCACTGGGCAGTCACGCTGGGCTGGGTTCATGGTACAGTCTCTATAACCTTCACAACAGCAGCTCTGCAAGGTAGATAGTACCATCCCTATGTCACACCAGAGGAAAGCAAGGCCCAGAGGAATCAGGTCATGAGCCCATAGCCATGCAGGGATAAGCGATGGCCCCAAGAGCAGATCTGTGTAACATGAAAAACAAAACCTTTGTACATACTCTTAGGCCACTTCCTAAATCAGAGCCCAAATCCTGCCAGGTCCTTTTCTGGCTCCTGCTTACAAACGGTGGTAATAATTAGCACTGCTGTCATTATACCCGCAGAACCAGTGAGTGCCCAGTCCCTGCCAGGCACTGTGCTGGGAGTTTGTGGAAGTTCTCAGCTGTGAGACAGTTGTCCCATTTTACAGGGAGGAACTGAGGTGCAGGAGAGCTAAGGAGCTCATTCCAGGCTCTGGAGCCTGGCCAAGCCAAAGTTCAAACCCTGAACTGTCTGATAGCAGCGCCCAGGCTCAGGCCTGCCCTTCTTTACTGCTCGTCATGTGCTGCTATAGTAGTAACCGCCACTGTGGCTGACACTGGGACAGTCATCACCAGCCCATTGACAGCCCCTGTGTCACCCTTTGTGATTCAGCCCACAGGATAACCAGCCGGGGGCATCCCCTGCCCATGGCTTGGCATCCAGCCCTCTGGTCTAGCCCCTGCCTGCTTTTCAACCTCATTTCATGGCAGCCTCCTCACCCACTCCCCTTCCTGGCCAAGCTTGATGCCTTCTGACCACCCGCCTCTGTCACCCCGTCCTGCTGTTCTCTCCTCCTCCACACCTGGGCGTGCCGGTTCTATCATGAGCTGGAGAAACACTTGTTGCTGATCCCTCTGGCGAGGATTGGAAAATTGATCGAACCAGGATCAATTAGGAGTGCTCCCTCTGGCCTGAGCAGGGTGCTGACCTTTGTGGTTGCCTTTAATCCTTAGAACCACCCTATGAGGTGAAGGGTTACTGCCACCTCCGCATCACAGTTGTGGAAAATGAGCTGACTGGGAAGTAAAGAGTTGGCCAGGGTCAAACCCAGGACACCCTGACCCCTTGTCTGGGCTTTTGCACAACTGCAAAAGCCATGGTGAAATATTCACATGTAACTATACTGAAGAAAAAGTTGGATAGCAATTGTATATCTATGCAGAGTCTAATTTTTTTAGTATCCTATTTTCTCAATTCTAAGATCTGTTTTTCAAATGTTGAGTGTAGTGTGGCTTCCCCACCTCTACCCCTTTCCTGGAAAAGCTGTTAATAATTCAGTGGTGTCTGAGAATGAAGGAGATATGTGGAAATATCTATATAGCTATCCTTCTACCCTATGTGGTTCTATGTCGTACAGAAGAGAGATGGAAATTGATAACAAAAGTAGAAGGATATGAGGGCTTACATTTTGTCATTGTAGTTTTCCACATTTTCAGAAATTTCTTTACTTTTTCTATAATGATGAGGAAAAACATAACGCACCAGAAAAAGAATGCATGGAGCCTGGACTCTGTCAGGGGCATCCCAACACAGTGCAAGGACTGTCCCATGGAAGCCCCCCGCCCCTGTAGGTGCTCTGGCTCCCCCCATTTTAGAGGTAAGAGAGAAGGCAACTGAAGAAGGCCAAGGAACTCACTCCAGCTTGAATTGCAAAGAAATCAGAGGGCCAAGGTCGGCCAAATCAGCCTCCCGTTAACCATTAGGAATAGCAGAGGAAAACTCATGGATGTAATTCCTGGGACAGCTCCCTGCCTGACTCCCTCTGATGTCTGTGTTCCTGTGCCAGTTGGTACTTTTACTGAAGGAGGTGGCACATAAATCTCAAAGAACTGAGGGCCTAGCAGGGAGAGTGTTGCCACAGGGAACAACTCTAAGAAGAGGGGCCTCAGGGAGGCTCAGGGCTCTGCTGGGAGGAGGCCCCAGCCCCAGCAGCACAGGGAGCATGAGCCCTGGAAGGGCTTCCTGCCTTATGGATTCCACATGGCTCTGGGCACCGCTTTGCTGTGACCCTGCCCTTCAGGAACACTTGACAAGGTTGACTTGGGTGTTTCCTCTGATGTGGGAAGGGCGTGGTCAGACGAGGCTGGAAATGCTCCCCAGGGGGCATCAATGAAAACCAGCCAGCAGCCTCAGCAGTAAACGAGAGCAGTGCACTGCATAGGCACTTTTAGGATGGCTTTCTTCCTTTGCTTTGGAGATTTCCACCCAGCTGGTTGTGTCTGGTGGGGTAGTGTTGTGGGCAGCAAGGATGGCAGGGGAGTGTTCTAAGCCTGAGCTGTAATTACTTAGGTGTCCCATCCAGGATGTGGGCCAAGGGCACTAGAGTGTCGCCTTTGGCTCTGGCTCATGTGAGCTGCCCACCTTGCCTCCCAGGCAGCCCAGCCTGAGCCCCTACCCTCAGCCTCACCTGTTGCTCCTTCTCTTACCCCATCATTAACTGTCTCCTCCTCCTTATCCCACCACCATCTTCAGTCATAGAGTTCTGCTGCCCTAGGGCCATCTCTCACCCGGGCTGGCTCCCTCTGCCAATACCTGAGCCTCCAGGTGGTGCCCTTCAACTCCATGGCCCTAGTCTGGCCCCCACAGATCTGTCCTCCAGACTGCCACCAGAGGCATCTGTCCTCACAAGGCCTGACCAAGCCACCCACAGACTAGAATACTTAGCATGGCATTCAGGGACATACACGAACAGGTCCCTGGCTGTTCCCAAGATTGTTAGTCTTTCAGAGTAGGGACTATATCTGCCCTGTTCATCTTGTGCCCTATGCTTTGCTTTTCTTTTTTGGCTTAAACAGCATGGGAGTATATTGGTTCATATTGCTGGAAAATACATGGGTATGGAAGAGTGAGGTTGGTTGATCCAGGAGATTAACAGCATCAACACTGACCTAATTGTCTGACTCTTCTGCTCTGTAGTTCACAGAGATGGCTTCATCTTAGGGTGGGATGCCCACAGGGTTGGAAGATGTATGCCAGTAGGAGTCAGGGTCCTACATGTCCTTGTTTGGGTTCAGCAGGACTTTCTTCACAGCGTTCTAGTAAGGGCTACTGAGATGCATTAGCTGAGGTTTCTCCCTCATCCCTGTGCCAGTGACTGAGGCTGGGAATAAAATCTTCTCATTTATTGCAGCCAGTTAGGGCACATTGCTGGAGCTGGGAGAGGGGACTTGCACCTGGAAAAAGATCTACTATTAGTTAAAGAGAGAGGGGGTAATTGACACTGGCCAAGCAACTACACACTTAGAGAGCATCCGGGAGCAAGAGACCCTCTCTAGTGGGAAGAAGGTGGCATGTGAGTGCAGAAAGGAATAGTGAGAAGGAGCTAGGCAGTGTCTGGGAAAGGGGCACTCCAGGCAGAAGGAGCACCAAGGACCAAGGCTCTGAGGCGCCCATGAACTGGCATATGTTTGAAGAGCAAGATGTTGGTACGTGGGGCGGAGTGTGGTGTCGGGGCAGCGGGGGAGCTGGGGCCTTAGTACTTGTCAGTTTAGCTGAGCCTGGACAGCATTTCCCAGAATTCTTTTCATCGTATGTTTTTTTTGGGGGAGTAGGGTTGATTACTTTTTTTTATTATTATTTGAGTATAGCTGACACACAATGTGGTGTTAGTTTCAGGTGTACAACACAAAGTGATTCAACAACCTATCCCTTCTGCCGTGCCAACCACAAGTGCAGCTACCATGTGTCACCATCAGTGCTGGCACATTGTCCTTATTCCATGAATATGTGCTGAGTGAGTGAGTGAGTGAGTGATTTATCCCCCCCCCCCCCAGCATTCATGTGGGACTAATACCACCCCACTTGCAGCCATCCAGCCCAGCCTGGCCTGCCGCGGGGCCCTGGTGCACGGAGACACTCTCCCTCTGCATTCTTCCAGGCTAAGCTCAGCTCTCCTTCCCCCCCACAACACGTCCTCTCTGCTATCTGCCCCCTCTCTCACACCTTACCCCTCTGCCCAGAGGCTTGTTGTCTGGTCTACCAGACCTCTCATTTCCTTGTCATCCTCTTGTGTGCTTCCACATTCCAGATGTAAGAGCCATGCCGGCCTTCTGTTTCCACCCCATGACTTGACCACTGTGATGCAGCAGAAACACACTCAATGTTCTTCACTCCCTCAGTTCCATCTTCACCTCATATTCACCATGGCTACTCCTCGGGGGGCTGTGCAAGGCATTAAGAATATAATGGTGGGGGCGCCTGGGTGGCTCAGTTGTTGGGCATCTGCCTTCAGCTC